AAGTTTGATCCAAGTGAGTCAAAGGTCAAGGAGACAAAAGGGTAACTTACTTACTTGGTTTCTGGTCACTTCTTCTTTCATATCTGCATATTTTACTCATCATGATAGTGTATTTTCAAGTAAGAAAAATCAGGAAATTTCAGAATATTTTGAAGAGGATTTTTTTTTCAGGTATCAGATACAATGTTTCCTTGCCAAGTGCTAAGGCTTTTCCTATTTTACTAGAAGTTCAATTAACATCATCCCAAAAGCTTCTTTTTCTGAATGTATCTAAAATCCATTTATTTTTACACTGACCTCTCTATCAACCAACGTGTTACTCCATCATATGTCCACTACTAAATAATAACAGTTTGACAAACTTTTGTAGAAATATTTTATAAATACCTCTTTATCTCAGGTGAATTCAATGAATTGATTGTTTTAAAAGATTCTTCTGGCAGCAGCAAGAGAAAGTGACTTTTATTTGACTTAATTTTGAGAGAGAAAAAATATTCCTAGAAATAGATTCTTAGGTCCAGATTTTCATGGTACTGCACTGAATAGTTTGCAAGTCACAGGTTTAGTATTTTCTCTCTGTTTGGATGGACTGCTTTTCTGTTATTTTATGTTGCTCTATTTGGAAGCTTAGCTTCTGTGGGAAAATCTCCCTTTTTCTAATCTATTTCTGCTAAGTAAATCTAAGGTGGATGAAAATTAATAAATTTGAGGTTTTTACCTCCTAGTAGTGAAGGCAAGACTGAAATTGAGCCTGCTCATTTGAAAACAACTTTTTGTGCAGTTTTCAGTACAAGGCTTGCTGCCAGGGCAAGCTTGTGACCCTGAATAACTCCAGCTTCTCATCCTTGAAAAGTGCAGAAATTTTGTTTTCCTCTATTTTGTACTTAAAGAGGGATGCTTGACTGCTGAAAGTTAAGCAGTCTTCCACACTGTGCTTGCCATAAACTACTTTTATTGTTATTAATTGTTTCTATTGTACATGTCCTCCTCGGATAGTCTCCTGAGGATGTTCTTGTTTGGGATCCTCCTTCACTGCTGCCTGTGGAGAGGTTCCCTACCATGCTCATTTTCTCTGCTTGCAGTGTGTGGGAGTCAGCGTGCACCCTTCATGAGGAAAATATCTACTGGGGTTTTTTGTTGGAATCTGCTACTGTCAATGTAATGATGTTCAGTTTTCAACATATGCATGCTGAGCTGTACCACCTAATGTTATGATTTAAAATATCCTACTATCATCCTGCACAGGCAAAATCTCTTCCAGCAGCAGTCCTTGGCAGTGAAATGAGGACTGCCTGGTTCAACTGCACAAACAAGCTAAAAGGACAGGAATCTGAGAGAGAAGCTGTAAACTTTTGGATGTCAGTCATTTCTGTTTCTTAAAAACAAACTAAAATAAACCATAAGTATTTTATGGCCCTGTGCCCTCTGACTTCATATCAGAGTTCAGAGGCTGCAGAGGAGAAAGAAGAGACACACAGCAACAGAAGGAGGACACAAAAAACAAGGAGTTGTGTACTTCATCAGAGTCCCCAGTGGTGCAACAACAGACAAACTGTCCCACAAGGAAAAGCTGTCAAAAAGGAGAAACAGTAAATGACACTCACATGCCTCATGAAGACACAGAAAACTGCAGGAAGCAGAAAATGGGAATGCTGTTGCTATTTCCAAATGAAGTCCACATACATTTTGTATAGTAAACATACTACTGACAAGAAAATGCTGAAGAGATGAGTGTTATTCATGGCTTTTATACATATCTCATAGTAGCCCTTGGGAAAACACTTTCTTTGGGGTGCTTTCCTAAATGCCTTCAGATCTTCAGATTCCTAAATAAGTTATGTCTCCTTTTTTTTTTTTTTTTTTTTTTTTTTTTTTTTTAAGGGTTTTTAAGGTCTATTCTATCAGACATACCGTTATGGTACATACAATTTAAATTTTCAGGATGATTACATAAATATTCCCACATTCCTGTAGGAATTCTTTCCTGTACAGTATAGCACAGCGTGAATTTATATTCCTGTGTTTCCCAGTTATTACACTCAGAATTTTTCTCCAACTGTCTATCATGAAGCTTATAAAAACTAGTGTTAACATTAATTCTTGTTCAGATGTGGAAATGTTACATATGTTAGATGACATTGGGAAGCAAATTAGAAAGCTCCAGGAAAGTCCTGTTTTTACTTTTGCACCCTCTGAACAGTTTAAGAACATTAACTGTTAAAAAACACCAAACAAAATCTACTTTGTAGTTGTTAGGTAAAATGTCAGCCCCTGGGGCAAAAGATTAGGCTAATATTCTCAGTATCTAAAACATGATTTTCTATAAGCTTTTTTGGGTACTCTCCCTGATTGTGAGACAAATTATATTAACCTTCTTTCCATGGTAAGTTAATGCACAAATTTACTCTTTATCCAGGTTATTGTATTAGCATCATTTTATGTGGCTTCTATTGTCTCTACTGAAAATCCTGTTGTCACCACTCAGTGGCCCTCTGGCTTCTTCACAGGAAGTGGGAAAGTCCCACAGGAAGGGTTGTACCTTGCTCAGTAGTGAAAGATTAAATCATTAAACCTGACCCCCTCAAAAGAAAACAAACCATACACACACACAAGAAAAAAAAAGAACCTATGGCTTTTGTCCCCAAACAAGCTCTTTCTGATTCAACACACTCGTGTTCACCCATGTGCCCTTAGTTCTACTGAGAAGGAGAGTGATGAAAATTAATCATCTGGAGAAGAAAAAGGAAAATGTGCAATATGCCACAGCTGGGTGAGATTTCTTCCTCTCTCTGTGTACTGGAGATACTATGAGGTATTACTTTATAGGGAGGGATATTTTGTATTCGTGAAAGATATTTTGATTTCCTAAGGAAATTAAAACCTTCTGTGTATCACATCATCACATAGTACACAAGAAGCAGCACATGAGTTATCCACTCAGGCCAGCTTCAACAATTCACTGCACTTCCACTTCACAAGAGCCATCCTCAGGTGAACATGGCCTATCCTCATTGCACATAAAGAACATGAATATATAACACACAAATTACAAAATAATAACTAATATAATTCCCAAATTCACTATTTCTGTCTCATCTGTTCTCACAGTGACTGCTATTTTGTATAAACTGATTTTCCAAAAGCCACAGGATAGAACAGAGTTTTATAGGTCAGGTCACTTCACATAAAAGAAGGAAGAACAAAGATATCTTATTTGTTTCATTTTTCCTTTTACTATCTTATCTATACAGCTCTAAAATAAAAGAAAGGCATAGCTTCATGTTATTTTTTTTCTTGTTTAAGTCAGTTACAAATATTTGTTACTGATAAACTTATCCAGCTAAAAGCGGGCATCCGGAGACAAATTGATTTCTTTTCCTCTCACTAGAGATGAGTGAACAAAATTAATCTCAAGCACTCAAAATCTTTTCTTAGACAAGACTATATAGAATCATAGAATCATACAATCATTAGGATTGGAAAAGATCTCCAACCTTTGACTAAGTACCACCATTTCACTAAACCATATGACAAAGTGCTACAGCTAATTATTTTTAAACAGTTCCAGGGAGTGCATATCTTCTAGAGGTACTGATGTTTCGCCTTTAACTGTAAACCACCTAACAATGGACTTAAGTTAGGCATCTAATGATTAGAATTATAATGTTGGAACAATTCCACTCAAAGTCCCCAAAAAGGTCTTTGATTTCCTCTCCACGTCAGTGCACTATACTGATGGTACCAAAACACTTGCACAAGGTTCTGGTAAATGCATACAGATTATGAAAAATATAGAAAATTCAAGAAGAAAAGTTCAAAATATTTACCAGCTGGCATTAATGGAAAGTTTGGACAAAGACTGCAGACATGGTATCACACTTTTTTGCTCAGCTCACATCACAGATTTTACTGCAGGTGTGTTGACCTTCAAGGATTGCCAGTGCATGCCCTGACTCATACTCCAACCACTCATACCAAGCATTATTCAACCTCCTGAAAAAAATATCCTCCCCAACATGCATTAATACCTTGTTTCTCCTCACAAGAGCTTGGAAGACTCTTATCAAACTGCTGTGTAGCTCCTTCATTACCCACTAGAGACTCCCAGCCGTAGCTTTCCCAGCTCTGTTAAGTGTTAGGTCCTAAGGTGCTGTCCCTTGTGGTTCCCAATGTGTCCTGACGATATGGAAAAACATCCTAAAATACCAGTGGCTCAAGCCAACTTGGCAGCAGTACAGTGGAAACAGTGTGATATATTTGGCTCCTGCCACTGATGTGTTCCTCTGTCAAACTGCAATGAAGCTCTTTAAGGGGAAAATGGGTGATGGAAAACCCAGCAATTGCTCCAGGTTTTCCCCCTACATAGATTGCTTTTGGGCTCTTCTTCACTGATTGTGGCATGCAATAGCTGCCACCTTTCTCAGTCCTCAAAATCACTTTTAAACTTTGTTTGCAAGTGATTCTAGCAGGGGGATTAGGTGAAGAAATCCCAAGAGCGACAGGGATAGACCACACTCCGATTCTTCCACTCCCATGGGTTCATGTGAGAGTAACTCAGAATATAGATAGGAGGGAACTTAGCAAAACAGAATCCAATAGAGAAACTGTAATATTATAACATAGATTCTTGTGAGTCTGGAACAATGAAGGGCTATGAAAATCTCTTACTGAAAGGGTTGGGTTGGTCTATTAATGCTAGTGAACCCTAAGTGTTGCCCCAAAAATTATAATTCATCACCCAGTGTGCAGTGAGCCAATCACACCAGAGCCAAGGGTTTTGTTATTTCATATTTGCACAATGATGGGTATTGTGTGTTGAATCCACCAAGTAAATCTACTATCACCCTAAGTAAAAACAATAAGGACTCTTTATATGCTGTTAATTTTTGTATGTTCTGCTTATCTAATATATTCAGTGTTTATTATTTGACTATTTCTGAGTTGTGCTGAGCTGGCTTCTTATCTTGGATGGCCTGGTGCTCATCAGTTGTAGAACTTACAATTCTATTACTGTCAGGCTGGCTTTCTTAGTGTCTTCTTATCTTGGGTGTCCTGCAATAGCAGATTCTTCCTTCCAGTCTTTTTTACTCCCCTGGATCTGTGACATTTGAAGTGGGTCAGGCCCTGAAATGTAATAAGGTAATGCTACTGAGAAAAAAAAAAAAAAAGTCTTAGACATCACAGGGAGGGCACCAGAGAGGAGACTCCAATGCCAGGAGACAAAAAATTTTAAAGCAAACATCTTCTGAAAGTCTGGAGAAATTTAATAAAACTTGTCCCTACTTGGATATATTCCACTTCTTGCAAAACTCTTCTCCTTAGATCAGAAGTCACAGAATAATGGAGTAATTCTAAAATCTTTCACTAGTGCAATACCTGGTTGAGAAATAGTCATCATAGTGAATCATCCCAGACAATGTCAGTGGTTTTGAAGAATGACTGGGTAGCACTTATGTTAATTTTTGCCTAACAGCTACACTGTAATTTTGTCTCTGTAATAATTAGGAGCAACGTATGTACAGGGGATTTTTCCAATTGTGAAAACCTAAGTTTAAGGTCAACTTCTTGGTGACTTCTCAAGTATTGAAGACCTGTCAAATGACTGACACCCTTATCTTTCAGTTTACATGTTCCAGACCTGGAGACATGTCCTTGCTCTGACCGATGTACAGAAGTTCTTCCCTGGACCTTCAGTCCAGCCTCAAACACCAAAGCCAAACCATCAGTCTACTGCTGGGGAAAGCCCTGCTCCCCATCAGTCCAGCAGGAGAAGAAAGTTTTACTGAAGCTACCCCTAGGGCAGCTGCCAACTCCACTTAGGGAATCAGAATCAGTGGCTGGAATCGAGAAAAGCCTCTTGTGAAACAAAAAAGAAATTTTTTTTCCCCCTTTTCTTCATATTTTTCTTAAGAAGATATTTTATTACCTCAGTAAACAAATTGTACGTAATTCACACACACAGACAAAAACCAAAAACCCTGACACCGAAAAATAAAATTACCCTTGCCATAGGAGATTCCTTGGCAGCAGCTGAAGATATAAAGAGATTATGAAAAATTGTGTAATATCACAGTGTATTGAGAAATATTAACACTATGAAGAACAGAGCAGTAGAAAAAGTACTAGCAGTGATTTCTGTGCACTAGCAGTAAATTGATGAGGGAACTAATAGATACCCTGAACTTCTCAGATCATGTAATTTTCAGTCATAAGATATGGCATTATTCTTTCAGATGAAAACATGTTACAGAAATATGCATATAACTATCAGTTACAGAAAAAAAAAAAAAAAAGTAGTTTCAAAATACAGTAATTTAACCCAAACCCCTTACATTTCTATTCATTTTCCTGGTTGTCTCAATTATATACATGTTTTTGAAGTCTCACTTGAGGACAGAAAAAAAAAACAACTAAGCAACTAGAGACTACACATTTTTTATGAGTAGGATATTTTTGCCAAGTTAAAAAAAATCATTGAGTAATTATACCTATTGTATCAATTGTCAAGAAAATAAATCACTAAAATAACATATGATTATGCTATATTTATTGGGCTGATCTCAGGACTTCCATATATAAATTATGTTACATCAGCATATTTATTATATATTATATTGTGGAACACTTCCCCCACCGAGGATCCCCCTGATGGGGAGACCCCTAAAAAGTTCTGTGCCAGGAATGAAAGACAAATGGGACTTTTTTTTTTTTGGTTTTCAGGTTGCGGTTTATTTTTCTCTTATCAAAAGTTCAGCACGCTGTCTACATTTCAGACTTAGCATATGAGGAGAAGGCACCAAAATTCACAAGACACACAGGTTCAAGGTCTTTTAAAGCTATTTTGTCCAATTAACTGTTAGAATGTATTTTATTTCTATCTTTCTACCAGTAACTAATTATTTGTCTGTCCACACAACATCTGCATTGTGGTTCTTTCTAACCAATGGCCCTGTGCTACCAACACTGCAGAAAATGGAGTAGATGAAGCACAAGAAGGAGATAAAACAATGCCCAAAGTCCTCCATCTTGTCTTCTATCTAACTCCATACTAAAAACACAAATCTCTACGTTTTTCACCCTGTGATAAACTACATTAGTATCTATTTCACACACTCATAGATTCCAGTTCAACCCAAAGTCTTGGAAGCTTTCTCCATGGACGAAGGTTAAAAACAGTATTCCCCTGGGGGTCAGGACTTCTCAGGACAGGCAGAGAAATATTTCCTGTGCCCTGGTTCTAGCATTATTTATTATTATATATTTATATATATGCACACAAATTATAGTTTTAAAACTACACAGAAATGCATATATATACTTTTTTCCTCTAATTAATAATGATATAACTCCCATAATTAATAATCATTAGAGTAGCTTTCCTATATTATTTTATATCACAGTTATTAAAAATATACACAGCCACAAGCTTGATATCTCTGCTCATATTTTTTAACATATACAATTATGTTATAATTATAATATATATAATATATAATAGACTTATATAATAGACTTTCATATACAAGATAATGATCAACAGGCAAATTATTAATACATTTTTTGCAGTTAAAGTTTCATTATATTTATTTCTAATTGCAATGTACAGTGAAATATTAGCAATATTCACAATACGCAAATGAAATAATTTGATTACCAGTATATTTAGTCTTTATAAATTTTAGTGAATTGACTTTTCTTGGATTTATGAACAGTCAATAAATAGAGGCTAAATAACAACTCTCTTTGTTTTCAATAACTAGCAATTAGAAGCATTTTGCAAGTTATAGGATGCAATAATACACTTACAAGAAGTTTATAGAATATCCAGCTGTGTGTTAAGACTCTGCCTCTAGCCCAGGAGCAGGGTCACGTACCTGTAGGGAGGGAGAGCTGCTCTCACAACTCTTGCCACAAGGAAGTGCAGAGGTGCAGAAGAGCATGCAAACTTACCTCCTTATTTAGAGAAAATCAGAGTTGCTGTAGCACCCCTAAGAAACCCTGCTGCCCAGTGCCCCACCACCCAGCTGATCTTGTATCAGCCACAAACAGAAAGTTGCACAGACCTTTTAAACTCCCTTGTAGGTGAGCTGTCTCAAGTGATAAGGAATTATGAAACCTCTGAGCCCAAGATATTTACCCTCTCAACACTTATGCTTTACAAGGGAGACCAGTTCTAAAAAATCCTTTCGGGACCAGCCTTTGCCTCTGGTCCCTTCAGCCTCTGCAATAGCCCAGAATTTGGAGGCAATGTGTCAGGTCCTGTTGCCAATCCAGAACAAATTTCATTGACTTTGCAGTAACTCTTTGCAAACATGGACTAATCCCATTTAATCCCCACAAAGTACTAGAAGCCAAATAATACGTGTCATATCAGAGATAATTCTTCAGATTTGGGTTTATTGTATTTATTTACACCAAGCATAGAGACAGGTCAAGATGAGGGATCTCAGCTGTGAGTACAGCTGTCCAAATTCATAGGACTCTCAATAATATTTCCACAGGCTTTGATTCACAACCTGGTTGTCTAAATAAACATCTGAGCCAAGTGGCAGGGCTATTGCCTCCTCTGCCTGTCTTTTTGGATCTTTGCTAAATCCTTTTATCATAGCAGGGCTGATACTTTTCTAAAATTTTTAAATTATTAATAATTAAGCGTGGTATTATTTTTTATTTGAACAACCTATAGAGGACCTCCTTTGAGAAAGTTACAGCAAATAGCAACAGTTATCAGTCTGTCTGCCAAGTCATATTCAAGATAATAGCTGTCTCAGAGGATTATCAGGAACCTGGAGGTGAGTCATTATGACAGGTGCTATAAAACTCCATATGTACTAACTCAAGGGACACTCCATGGCATAAACCTCTTAACTGATGAAATTTCTGCTTCTCTAAAGTTAGACAGAAAATCAAGTGATAAGGAAAAGTTAAGAATTAAAAAATATTCCTGAAATTTTCATTAATCTGGATATTTTCTGACCTATCCTGTTATGCTGTAAATGCTGTTGTTCTACCTTTGATATTCTTGGAGTCCTGTTGATTGCTTCCTGTGTGCCTTTCACAGCTGCAGCCTCCAGCTTGTTGCCAGACTTCTGCCTTCCTTTCTGCATGTGCTTCCTTTTACCCCTGTTTCTTTCTCTGAGAATCTCCTCCCACCTCCAGCTCTATGCATGTCTCTCACCTTCCACCCTATCATCTCAGCAGTCACTCCTCCACAATCTCCCCTAGTTTGTCTCCTCCCTCCTTGGATTATCCCCTAGGTTTTTTCCCTGCTCTTCCAGAATTTACTGCTTTCCATAAATTCTGTCCTTGTTCCTTGTCATTAACAATTATATTTCCCCAATCTCCCATTATACTTTTTTTCTCTCTCTCCTATTTCTCTTCTTCTTCCTCTGTATGAAGTTCAGGTATATAACCTTCTCACACCATCAGTTAATCAAAAAGCTGTTTGCAAATGAAAACCACATTTATCAGTGTTCTTTGGTGCACAGAGAAGTCTTACCTGAAAAGGCTAATTATAAATAATAATTTAAGTTTGCTGACTTAGTACTGAATTCTTGTTTGTGTTCCTTCCTAGAGCCTCAGAAGAGCAAAGCCCACAGTATTTCTACCCGTTATCTATTTTCTGCCCAGCTGCCATTCAACATTCTTTTTGAAGTCCTCCCACTTCTAAGAAAATGAATACTGAACAGCTTCAGCCATACAGAAAAGGAAGAGAAGAGAAGAGAAGAGAAGAGAAGAGAAGAGAAGAGAAGAGAAGAGAAGAGAAGAGAAGAGAAGATTTAACCCTCTCTTACCTGTGCTAGAACTGGAAGAGGATCTGAGATGAGGCTGGGAAAAGCTCAGAGTTTTCTGAATACAGTGCCAGGCAGGTTCAGTGGCAAAGCAGGCATACTGGGCTACCAAAAACAGTGCAGTGCTGTTCCAACCCACAACAGCCAGAAAGGAAATGGGATGTATCATTCATCTCTTTCTTATGATTTGAGCAGTCAGAGCACTCGTTAGTGTTTAGCATTACAAAAAAAAAATCCTTAAAATTATATAGGATGAAGATTACAGAATTGTAAACATGTCGTCACAACATGAAACACCCCAGGCATGTTTGTGGCAAAGCACACACCCTCTGCATAATTATACTCGGGCTTCTCTGTTTTAGGCAAAAAGTAACAATAGTCACTTATCAGATTCTCAAAATGGTATTGGAGAGGATTCAGCAGGACACTCCCAAGACTTTCTGGGTAGTAGCAGCCATAGGATTGCAGACACATAAATGCTTAGTCCCTCCAGTTTCTGGAAACTATTTCATCCATGCTGCACTCTGCTCTATTAGTGTTTTTCTAGTTAGTTTTTTGCCAATCTATCTCTCACAATTCCTTTTCTCACTCTGCAATTCTAGCTCAGAGTTCTCCTCCTTTCCCCAAATCTCACAACCAGATTGTCTACCCACCTCTTCTCAGAGGATAAATATTGACCATATCAGAATAGTATCTCTAAAAGTCTTGTGTGCTCAATTCAGCATTGCACATTCATGCAGCAAGGAAGCTTTATTTCTGTTGTACTTCTGCATGTGAGATTGTTTTAACAGCAGTTACACATTCCAGGTCTTACTGAACATTGTATTTTCTGAAGTCTGTGTGCCCAAGGAAGCATTCTGGTATCTGGGTCAAACAAACACCATGGATGCCTATCAGCCGATATCTGTAAGAATATCTGTGATGCCTCTGACTACAGTTTAATGTGCCTGTGGTTCTAATGCACACATGCCTAAAGATCCATGTATGGATCTTCTTAAAAGAGACAGAAACAACTGCAGTAGAGATTATTTCTCACAGCTTCCCAACAGCGTTTATGCAGACAGCTTCCAACCATTGGTCTTATGAAAAACCTACTAAAAGACACTTAGACCCAGCAGAGCCTGGTATTTTGATTCATCATCTGCATGTAATAGGAAGAATTTTTTGTCTTGGCATGAAAGGCATATGTTGACTCGAGCTGGTGAGGCTTGTGAGAAGATATTTTCTTGAATAGTAAACATGAGGGCATATTTTCCTGTGGATAATTTACTTTCCTTTGACCTAGTAAAATGTGAAGGCCCTCCTCTGTGAGGTCAGTAATATTCCATTTTTGACCAACTAAGTACATTACACATGCTTTCATGTTCACATGAACATGCTGGTGCCTTGTTTCAATTTCAAAGAATCTACCTGAAGCTTAGTGGCAAGCTGAGTGTTTTTTGCCTCTTGCAACCTTGCCTATTGCATTTTCCACCATGCAAGCACCCTGCAAAACACTACCTTTTTCCTTGGAAAATTCCATGTGTGGCTCACTGAAATACATGTGGCTGGGAGGACTTGTGCCTACCTTTGAAATTGCGTTGTGATTCCTTGTAGTGCCATACTTTTCATACCATCCAGGTTCCTCACCGGAAGAACACAGCAGGAATACAGACCTGATTCTTTGGCATGTTGTCTTGCTTGGTGTACTGATTAAAGTGAGGCACTCTCTGAGGTGCTACAGATCTTTTGGTGTGGTTACTGCATTTCTATGTAATCTTCACTGTCTTAGGATCAAATTCATCCATTAACAGATTCCCACTTTTACAGCTATCCCTCCTCTAAATGCCACTTCCATACTTCATGTTTAATTCATATTGTATACCGGGTGTGTATCGAGTGAATTCAGTTTTGAAGGAATTTCATGATTTCAGAAATATCTCCTACTCAAACTCACGTGGCCTTAGAAAGTAGCAGAAACAAAATTATAATATAAGCTTTGTCTGACTTGTTCTAAATCCTCATTTTGTAATTCAGGCTTATTTGATTTGGGGATTTATTTCTCTGAAAAGAGTTTAGTCCTGAAAAAGTGTCTGTAGTTAGTGAGACTTGATACAATGACTAGAATTTAAGCAGCCTATGAGCATCGTCCCCGGGTTTTACTCAGGGTGAATTTCATCACAGTTCAAAGAGCTCATATGACCCTTTATTAAATAATCACAGCATAAATTGTCATATTCTACCTAATTCGTTAAGTTTGTAGTCCCATTTATTTTTATGTTCTTCATTCCACCATGTTTCAATTAGTAAAAATTAATTTAGTACACAATTGATTAAAAATTAGAACTTTTCAAACATTCTGTGCTTCCAATGAAACCTAAGCTTCATGGAGTGCAGCACAGAGTGCAGATGGAATTCCAGTCAGTCGTTTGTGTCTAGTGGTTTTATCAACACATAATAGAGCCATCACATAAATTAAATATTTATGAGTCAAAATCAATTAGTGACTAAGACATAAATTAGTTCACTATTAAGGTTTAGCATGGAGCATGCTAGCCTAGACAGACCATGTTAATGAATAAATATTACAGTAACAAATATTTGACATTTATATCAGTCATAACATATGTCTTATAAAATAAAAAAATGGGATATATTGGGTATGTCATAATCCTTTTCAGATACAACAGCATTATGCTGTATGTTACATGAGTAATTGATATTTCAAGTAAAACAGTGGGATAGCAAGACTATTTTTCTAAGGGAAAAATCAAAATAGTTAATGAAAAGTTCAGTGGTCAGTCTCTGACATGACAAATAGATTTTTATAGAGTTTATCAAGTTTAGAGCCCTTGGAAGTAGTGTTCTACCTGCTTAATGTCGACTGAGAGAGTAACAAAGTAATGAATAAAAACGTAAAAAGAAATCTATGCACTGTTACACCTTTTATACATGTTCTAAAGTTAAAAGTTCGTTTGAGCTTAGAAACTACTGAGTAGTGTACTTCCTTGTTTAAAGACAGCCCGTCCCTGCCGGATTTACTTGGGTAATTAATTGAGTGTTCCCAGAGATTCCCCGCAGAGCCTAGGGGAAGCCTGTGCCAAGTAGAGGTGGTGAGACTGGAAACTCCTGTGGCACAAAGCAAAATGTCAGGGGAGGATTTTGGCTCGTCCTGTTGCCTAGCCTGCTGCCTGCACGCCTGGAATTAGTGACAGCTGTTGTCCCTTTGACTGAGTATGGACGTACTCAGAGCCATTCAGATGTAGAAGCCAGACAAAATGACGGGTCACAGGAATCCAGAAGTATTTACATTATTGAAGTAACTAATTTACATAAATCTAAGGCAGTGGAAGAGCAGAACCTCCATGGTTTTATTTAAAGTTTCAGAGATAAAACCTGTTTATTTCCGTACATTATTTTAGTCTCAGCATGTTTGAAAACAACTTTTCTGCTGTATTTCTGAAAAACAAAATACTGCAACATGCTAACATACATAAATCCAATAATTGTTATTCTCAGATGTCACAAATTGTACTGGATGCCTTGAAATTTATATTGCTGATTTAAGAAGGTTGCTGTTTGTCCTTTGAAAAATCAGATACCTGGCAACTGAAATTTCCATGTTCCTCAAAACAGAGAAATTTGCCAAAAAATTTTTGATTTAGATTTGCCAAAAAACTTTTAAAATAAGAAATTGCTGGTTACTTAAATAATGAGTGTTGTGTTTGTTTACACAGTGTTCACACAGTGAAAAATAAAGTTGTTTTAGATTATTTCAGTCTTGCCAAGTAGCAATTGCTGTAGTCATTAAAAAAAACCAAAACAAACAAAAACCCCTTTGATCTAGATTGTTCAGGTGGATAGTTCTCTGCTATCTCTTAAAACATAAGTCAGATTTTCTTCCATCAGAATCAGCTGGATTGTTCCCAGCAGTACATTCACAGTGCCTACTCCTCTGCAAAGGAGGAGTGCTCCTCACAGTGCTCCTCTCCTACTGCAAAGATTTTTATGGTTTGTTTTTCATCTCAGGAGACCTTAATTAGCTTTCATTTCTTTGGCCTCTCACTTGTATTTTCCAAACAAAAGTGCTGTGTCTGCAAAACACCTTCTGATGAAAATGTAAGACTGAACATGTCTTATGTCTTTTGAACAAGTACTGTCTTCCAATTTATTGTCTTCCAAGTTTTCCTCAGCACAGCTTCCTGGGAGCACCTGTTTGGGAGTTCTTAAAAATCAGGCCAGGTCTATCATCAGAGGATACTATTAACACTAATACCTTAATTAATTAATTTACTGTTTAAAACTCTTAAGCTTTT